TTTGAAAAAAGGCAATTTGCAAAACCTATATAATATTTTGTATAATTTTGTTAAAAGCAAAAAAAAAAATCCCAGATATGTGCCTATAATCACATCCTTGTATAACTACAAACACACACACTATAAACTTTCAGGAGGTGGTTTAGAAGAGACAAAGGGGAACATTTTATATAATTCTTTAGCATTTAAAATATTAAACCAAAGTTAATATAAGCTAATAGTAAAACAAACAAAACCAATTTTTTTCCTTTAAACGTTTTTATTTTTAAATTTTTAAATTAATTTTAAACAAATTTAATATAGTTCATAAGTACAATTCTAAGAATATAATGATATTCCCTCCCTGCCTTCCACCCTTCTTCCCTCTTTTATTTTTGAGATAACATTTTAAATTTACATTACAGTAGGCCGGCGCCGCGGCTCACTAGGCTAATCCTCCGCCTAGCGGCGCCGGCACACCGGGTTCTAGTCCCGGTCGGGGCGCCGGATTCTGTCCCGGTTGCCCCTCTTCCAGGCCAGCCCTCTGCTGTGGCCAGGGAGTGCAGTGGAGGATGGCCCAGGTGCTTGGGCCCTGCACCCCATGGGAGACCAGGAAAAGCACCTGGCTCCTGGCTCCTGCCATCGGATCAGCGCGCTGCGCCGGCCGCAGCACGCCGACCACGGCGGCCATTGGAGGGTGAACCAACGGCAAAGGAAGACCTTTCTCTCTCTCTCTCTCTCTCACTGTCCACTCTGCCTGTCAAAAAAAAAAAAAAAAAAAAAATTACATTACAGTAAAAAGGCTTAATGCTTCACCAAGTAAGTGTAACAAGTAAAAAGCAAAAAGATTCTAGTTTAGTGGGAATACAGGCAAGGGCTATAAATAACTGAATGGGAAAAAGAACATTTCACTCATATACAGTAAATTTTAAAGTAATCACAAATCATTACAACTATGGTAGTATAACATTTTTACCCATTCAAAACCAACAGTTAGGGTAACAAATATTTAAACAGAAAAAGGTAAAAGCCTCCCTGTGCCTTCAGACTGCCATCACCATCACTATAAAAGTCCCTACTATCAATCTTATAGACATGATTAACCTTTGGAGTTTTGCATTTTCTATGTGCAGTTATTTCTAACATACTAAGTGTTTGCTGCTTTTATGAATTAAGGAAGATATCGCACACATCTGAGAAACAGTGTTTAAAAAGTATTTCTCCCCTTTTCTAGTTTACTCATATACTAGTTAAAAAATAGGGAAAAGGTAATTAAGAAAAAATTGAATATTTAATCTGTGATAATAGATTTTCGATAAAACCAACAATACACCTATCAGAAACTAATAACTTCATTAAAAAACAATATTCCTTACTATAAGATGTTACATGTGTGAAATTAATCACCTTGATAAATTAAAACCTGGGATGGAAATTCAAATCTGCACACATCTATACTTAATTGAACAATACAAACATGTCTAAGGCCTTAAAAATGTGTCCTTAGTAATTCTACTTGTATGAAGTTAATTGAAGAAATTAAAGATTGAAAATTTAGATTGCTATTGAAGTACTATTTACAAAAAAATCATAAACAAACAAAATATCCAATAGGGGATGGGTTAATCTAATGACTATAAAAACATTAAAACTGGGGCCTGTGCTGTGGCGTAGTGGGTAAAGCTGCCACCTGCAGTGCCAGCATCCCATATGGGCGCCAGTTCGAGTCCCAGCTGCTCCACTTCCAATCTGACTCTCTGTTATGGCCTGGGAAATTAATGGAGGATGGCGCAAGTTTTTGGGTCACCGCACCCATTGTGGGAAACCTGGAAGAAGCTCCTGGCTCCTGGCTTTAGACTGGCTCAGCTCTGATCACTGTGGTCATTTGGGGAGTGAACCAGCAGACAGAAGACCTCTCTTACTGTCTCTGCCTCTCTGTAACTCTTCCTTTTCAAACAAACAAATAAATCTTAAAAAAAAATTAAAACTAATAGTATAGCAGTATGTCTTACGTAGGAAGAGGTTACCAGATAGAATATAAAGTATATTTTCTTCTTCCCTTAGAAAATACACACAGAAAACCACTTTAAATTTTATTTGTGAGTGGAGGAATTACAATTTTTTTATTTCATCATTTAATATGCTTGCTATTTTTCTACAAAACATTTATTTTTAGGTTAATCATTTTTAAATAAGAATGCTCAGAGAAATATTTTTTCTCTTCAATATATGAATTGATGTTAATCTCTTTCATCTTCTTCAACTTATGCAAGAGATGACGCTAGTAGTAGGAACTTCAAAACATTTGTGGAAAATGCAGGCAAAAGCTTATTTTGGTGCAAAAAAGTCTTGAAATTCATGCACATGAGAGATCTTCAAAAAGTTCAGGAAAATGAATATTGAAAATGAACAATGTGAAAATTTTGTGGATTTCAAAATTTTTTTCACCAAAATAAACATTTCTTAATTCTTTTTTCATAAACATTTTTAATTTTCCTTAAACAAGCGCTCTAACTTTACAAAAGGTAAATGTAGAGAGTAAGATGTACTAGTTGGCTTTGGTTCTTTAATTTTAGGCCAAACTTAAATAATCCTTTTTCATTAAGTTGTCCTTGGTTTACATACGAATCTGTGTACACATAGTCATATATGTTAAAAAAAAAGGAACAAGTGTGAGAAAGCATAGATGCAGATACTGAAAGCAACTAAAACATTTCCTCCCTCTTTTCATAAGGATTCTTCTATAATGTACTTCCCATGTTAGAAATATCTTTCATTGGCCCTGATTATCAGCAACTAGAATATGAATGCATTTTTTACAAAGCTTATTTATATTTGTTATTAAATGCTGTGATGTATTAGAAGAGTTAAGATGCTTGAATAGTTATTCTTTTTGCATTAGGCACTCAAAAAAATGAATGCAGGTCCTGGTACCAGGAAGGGCTACCTTCTCCCTTAATGATTTAAACCCCACAAAGTAAATACACAATACAAGAGAGTCAGACTACCATGAAGCACCTGTTTCATTTACAGCAAAAGCTATACTCCTCAGGTAAAGGACAGGGCACAGCCATGGAGACAAGAGCAGTTATTGATGCAAGCTAAGTGAGAATATGATCCCTCCACCTTAAAAACTTTCTACTTCGGATTAGGCTCATTAGATATTAGTACCGAGTTTCTGACACACACATCAGAAATATCACACCAAATCTCAATCACACAGAATCAGTCAATATGCCTAAGTGCCTACAAGTAGTATCAAAGAGACCCCTAGAAGAAGGTCTAATTTTTAAGAATCCTGGGACAAAGTCTGGCCACGCTCTGTAAGGAGTCATGGGCTCACTACCTAGGAGATATGTGAACCTGGAAATGCAGTAACTTTCTTATATTTCTGGTTTCTGATCATTCAGGATAAGATTTTTCAGGTCTAGGCGAATGTCCACTGTACCTCTTACTTTTTTTCTATAGACTGAATCACTGAAGCCAAAGACTGTCTCTATTAAAGTCTACTCTGCTCAAAGAGGGAGGGTGGAATCTCCTGGTCTTTTTTGGCTGAAGACCATATCTGATGAGAGATTCACAGGTAGTCCACAATTATTGCTTCCACTATTCATTGAGCATAAAATCCAGAAAAGATAAGGAGCAACAAAGTGCTCAAACAGTACTATCAGCATTATCTGACTTATGCCAAATTTGAGGATATAAACATCTGCAATTTCAATGGCAGAAATATAATGCATACATCGAGATGAAGTAGTCGGTCATCTAGAATATTCTTGGAAAGAAATCAAGTCACAGACTGCTTCAAGAAAAGTACTTGTCAATACCTCCAGCCATGTTTTTAAACTATCCATAAAACTGTGAAAGTTTAGGCATTTAAACATGATTTAACGCCAATCGTGGTTAGGATTATTCTATTTAAACTACTGCATTTTGGGTCATTCAGAAGGGTCCGATCAATACATTCAATCACCTTTCCATAAAAAGTAACACATTAACAGCTGATTTCCCCACAAAATTACCGGTAACAGGAGTCTACAATAAGAAGCCAGTTTTTCATATCCCAGTATTAATTATACTCATTATTCTTTGCCAACAAACTTCCTAGACCAGAGAGCAACAGAACATGTGGAAACACGTTTCCATGACATAAGGCCACTCCTTGTAAGTCTTTCAGTTAAATGTTCATAATAGACTCACTCCACAGTCATGTTTATACAGGCTAGCAGCCTCCGACTCCTCAACCATTCACTCGTTAGAAATTCGCTTTCGGTAGGATTGAACTCCACCGCTTTCCATTAACAGAAGGGCATTCCCAGGGCCAGGAGGCCAGCGGCTCCCACTGTGAATCTCTGCCCTAGCAACGCCTCAGTAACACAGGGCCGTCGAAACCAGTCTGCTCACCTCCAATCCTAAGCACACTGGGTTTTGTAAATCCCCACGGGTCTCCCCGCTCCCTTCCCCACAAATGGCCTTTCGGGGTCAGAGGAACTTGCATTTCATTTTCATCTTCACTTCTTACTTTCCTGGGAGAAAGCTGCCGGCGGAGACGCCGGGAAGGGAGGAAGGGCAGAACGCAGAACTCTACTTAGCTGGGGAGTGGGGGCGGGGGACGCCAGCGGGATAATCCCACACAAACCCCACTGGAGGGAACCCGAACCCCTTCTCCCACGTTCCGGACGCCCAGGCGGTCCCACACCACCCCCTTCCCCGCGACCTAACACAGACGCTCTGGGGGAGAGCGGCGGGGGGAGGCAGGGGTGTGCGGTTCGGAAAGGAGAGATGTGCAAGTAAGTCCCTTGTCCTTGAACGCAAAGCAGCTTTGCTGGCGAGCAAGTCCGGCTGCCACCTGGGGCCGCCAACCAGCGGTCTCCAGGGATTGCAGCTGATGGGCTGCACCTGTCATCTCGGGGTTCGGCAAGCATCAGGGGACAATCCGAGGGAACCAACGGGCAGGAGAAACACAAGGGCGGGACAAAGTGATTCTTAGGGTCAGGGTTATGACCACAAGAGGCACTTACGGGGTACACCTGTCGCTGTACTCATTGGCGATGGTCTCAATGCCGCCACTCCTCGCTACGGCGATGTAGCAGTTGAGAAAGCCGAGGTCAATGCCAACCACAGACATCCCGCCGCCTAAAGGTCGGGGGGCTAGTGCAGAAGCCTCCGCCGAGGGCACCGCGTCCGCTTCCGAGCTGCTGCTGCCGGGATTGCCACTCCTAATGAGAAGCAAGGGAGAAATGACCCCAAGTCGCTACGCAGAAAATCTAGGGCAGAGCGCCGGGAAAACGCGGAGTGGGTAGAGGCCGCCCGCGCCGCCAGCTCCGCCGCGTCCCGCCGCCTAGGTCCCTCTCCACTGCGGTTCGGCCGCCTCCAACCGGCAGTTACTGAGATCTGCGCCTGCGCGCTCCGCCGCCGGGGAGGTGCGCGAGCCGCGGCTCAGCGCCCGAGGCTGCTCGGAGCCTACACTTCGGCTGCTTCCGTCAGCGCTCGGGCAACGGCCGCCAGAGGAGCTGCGGGTTCGAGAAAGATCTGGAAAATGGAGGCAGCTGAACCAGCCGGGGGCGGGAGGCAGGGGAAGGGGGGGCGGGGGCGGGGAGGACCCGGGAGGCGAGGAGGAAGGGAAGCGGCGTTGGCTTGCTTGGCCTTCGCACGGCCAAGGCCCCTGCCTTGGGCTACGTGACAGGCACCGGCCGTTTGCACTCGTGTTTTTGCGCACCCTTGTAGGTGGTTTAGGCAACTTGAGGCGTGCCTGTCACGGCGCAGGATGCTGCTGAGGCTCGGCCGACGTGGGGCGTCCGAGCGACAGAAGCAGCCTCCTCGCCCCCTACCTTCCCTTCGCGGGGCCCTCTCAGCCCGGAAACCCACCCGCCGGCCTCGCCGCCCCGAGGGGCCCATGTGCCGCCCGCGGCGCGTTCCGCTGCGCGGCGCGAGGCCTCGGCGCCCGCGACTGCGGGCTCTGTGAGGTGGCGCCCATTGTGCGGTGCCCAGGCCGCGCCGCGCCCCCGCCCCCGGGCTGCGGGTGGTCGCGGAGCCGGGCGGGGCGGGGGAGGAGGAGGGGGTCCTCAGCGCAGAACAAACTGCTGTCCGCTGTGGAAGCGCGATGAACGCGTTTTAGGTTGTTTTTAATCCAAACTTTTGCCAAGAAATACAACTTTTCCCGTCACCCATCTTCCTTTCTCACATTCTAGAAGATGCAGCCTTCGCCCGTTAACCCTTCCCTCTGAAAACTAGTTTTACAGTAAAATGATCCCAAGTTCGTGTGTCACCAGACACCAGACAAGCCTGTGCCTCGCCGCGGCCCCTGGTCCTCAAACAAAACAACAAACAAACAAACAAGCCTGGTGTGGCCCAGCCCCTGCCACTTCACTTGCTCGGTATCTGGTGCCTGCCTGTCTGCCCGAAGTTAAACTTTACACTCACAGAGTTCGGCTGCCCTGTTCCTCCTTCTCCACTTGTTGGTGCGCTCCTTGTTCCTCATCGTCGTCCGCCTCTCGCTGCCATCTCTGTTCCTCGTGGTCCACTTCTTCGCGTGCTCCCTGCTCGTTCTCATCCACTTCTCCGTGTGTTCCCTCCTCGTCGTCCGCTGCTTCCTGCCTTCCCTGATCGTCCTCGTCCAGTTCTCCGTGTGTTTCCTGTTCCATGTTGGTTTTCATCGTAAGAATAGGCGTGGGGTCTTTACCAGATTCTTTAGTGCTCTCACGGTCCCTCGCTGTCCACTGCTTCAAAGAACCGAGACCTTTGACTATTAACAGGGCAGCCACAGCAGCAGCAGCAAGCGTGGCGATAGCTCCTACTGCCGTGGCGATGATGAACATGAAATCCATCTTTCAGGGCAATACTGAGGAAGCTGGATGGTGCAGTACTGCTTCGGCTGTGTTCTCTCTTTAAAGAATCACGCCTTCCTTCATTTCGCCAGCACACAGAAGGCTGGCTTCGCCGGTGGGGTGGACGCGGCCCTCTGGCAGGGGGGTTCGCTTCCCGGCAGGCAGTGCGCGAGCGGCGCGGGGATTGGGCGCTGCACCCACGACAGAACCCTGGGCCCCCAGGGCCCCCGGGCGGCCCCCGGCCTGAACCCTCTTCAGTGACCTCTTCAGCCATTATCCTTTTGGGCCCACGACCACCTAGCTTTATTTCCAAATACCCTGAAACTCTACAAAGATCACTTATCTGATTCCATTTATCCGTGCTGTCTGTAAAACCAGATGATGTGTAAGGATAATTTTTCTATCCACCCCCCCCACAAAAGTTTAAAAGCCAAAGAAGTAACAGTTGAAGTCAAAGCAAGGTGTTATATTCCTTACCATCGGTGGGGAGGATGTAAGAGTATCTAGTGGTTAAAAACATGACAGGCTTTAGGGTCATAAAGATTCCGATTGTAGTCCCAGGCACGCTTAACTAGTATGACCTTCGGCAAATTAACTCTTCAAGCCTCAAGTTCAAACTCTGTTAAAAAGAAGACAAATACATCTAGTGGGCTGTTTTATGATTAAATAATGTATGCATAGATAGCATCAGTACCTTACACCAAAAGGTCAATAAATCGTAGTTGTGTATAGCTTCTATTAGAATATAGGAATAATGCTAATTTATGTACACTGATCATGTATCCAGCAACCTTGCTGTACTCTTATAAGATGCAGTATTTATAGAGTTTTTTTGATTTTATGTGTATTTAACGACATGGCCTGGGAAATAACTAATTTCTTCACTTTAATCCTTCTATCTGTTTTCTTGATGTTGCTTAATCTTTCCAATAAAATATTGAATATAAGCAGTAACGGTGAACATCCTTGTAACACTAAATACTTTTGCTTATGATGTACAAAAGTTAACAAAATTAACTTCCTAGCTTGGTAAGAGTTTTTCTCCTACCTTGAAACTGAAACTTGACAGATGCTTATCATCTAATGAAATGACCCCCATTCCCTTAATAATACAGTTAAGATTTTAATAGACTTCATAACATCTTTGCATTCCTGAGATAAACCAGGTAGATCATATGATTCTGATTGTTTTTAGATATCCTGGATTTGGCTATGATTATTTGCATCTATATTCATAAGTAATATTGGCCTTTAATTTTCCTTTGTTGGTATCAAGATGACACTAGTGGGACCGTGCTGTGGTAGTGTAGTGGGTAAAGCTGTTGCCTGCAGTGCCCGGCATCCCATATGAGCACCAGTTCAAGGGCTGCTCCACTTCCAATCCAGCTCCCTGCTAAATACTCCTGGGAAAGCAGTGGAAGATGGTCCCAGTGCTTGGGCCCCTGCACCTACATGGGAAACCCAGATGAAGTTCCTGGATCCTGGCTTTAGAGCAGTCCAGCCTTGACAACTGCGGCCATTTGGGGAGTGAACCAGCAGATGGAAGATCTCTCTCTTGCTCTGTAATTGTGCCTTTCAAATAAATAAAAAAATAAATCTTTTTTTAAAAAGTTCATGGAAAACGGGTACAATGAAAATGCATAGACTTCAACATTTCTGAACCAAAATAAATTAAAAATAAGTTAGTCTATTAGTTCAGTATTTCTCTAAATGTTTTGAAGTGCATTCATGTGCCCATGTTTTTCATTATTTTGTGAATCTTCTGTTTCTATCACTAGTGGTTTGTAAAATTCCCTATTTGTGTGTCTTCATTTCTTCAGTATATCTTCATTTCCTATCTCATTAGCTCTTTATTTCCTCTTATATGTTTATTTTCTCATCTCATGAACATCAAGTTCATTAATTTCAGTCTTGTTTCCTTAGGCTTACATTTGAAGCCATACATTTCCTTTTAGATACCAGTTTAGCTATATTCCTTTCTGAATTTTCAAACAATTGACATAGGAGAGTGGTAATGGAGATAATGTATCAGCTTGATTACTGATTAATATTAGAGAAAGAACTTAGGTGCCTATAGGCTTATAATCCTTGAACCTTAGAATTAACTAGCCATACCTATCTAGTCACAGTAATAGGCACTAATGCCATATTAGAGCCTGCTCCTATAACATTGTACTAAGGAGGAATGTGGCTCTCAAGAGAAGTGAGGAAGAGGCTAAATTGGTCACATGTTTTAAGATTTATTTATTTGTTTGAAAGTCAGAGTTACATGGAGAGGGAGTGGGGGAGAGAGAGAGAGGGAGAGAATGAATATGAATATTTTCCATCTGCTGGTTCACTCCCCAAATGGCCACAACAGCAGAAGCTGGGATAGTATCAAGTCAGGACACAGGAGTTTTGCCTACTATGCCACAGCACCAGCTCCAACGTATGGTTCAATGATGGGATACACTCTGGTAAATACTTTGTTAGGCAATATTGTACAAACATCATAGGGTGTACTTACACAAATTAAGATGACCATCACTTGGTGATATAATCATATAGGACCCCTGTCTTATATAATATGCATTGATGACCAAAATGTTAGGCAATGCATGACCATATTCTTAAATTCACAGTCATTTCGCAGAGAAGTCTGAATTTTTCCCTTTACAGACTGTGCTTATCTGGGTTTACCAACATGCTTACCAATTTCTTTACTTCACTGTTTTTTGTGTCCCACTTTTTCTGTCTGGGTTCAGTTTTCTTTCAGAAATCAGAAAAGATCTCTGCATGGTGATTAGTATTAGCCCAATTTGTGTTACTATAATAGTGTATCTGAGGCAGGGCACTGTATAAACAGGTTTGGGGCCGGCACTGTGACACAGTGGGTAAAGCCACTGCATGCAGTGCTGGCATCCTATATGGGTGCCTGTTTGAGTCCTGGCTGCTCCATTTCCAATCCAGCTCTCTGCTATGGCCTGGGAAAGCAACAGAAGATGGCCCAAATCCTTGGGCCCCTACACCCATGTGGGAGACCTGGAAGCAGCTCAGGTTCCTGGCTTTGGATCAGCCCAGCTCCGGCCACTGCAGCCATTTGGGGAGTAAACCAACGGATAAGAGACCTCTCTCTCTCTCTCTCTCTCTCTCTCTCTCTGCCTGTGTCTCTTTAACTCTGCCTTTCAAATACATACATACATACATACATACATACAGGAAGGAAGGGAGGGAGGAAGGGAGTAGGAAGGGAGAGAAAGAGAAAAAAGGAGGGAACAAGGGAAGAAGAAAGAGAAAGAGGAAGGACGGAAGGGAGGGAGCGAGGGAGGGAGGGAGGAATAAAACAGGTTTATTTAGTTTAGTTCAGTTTTGGAGGCTGAAATTCCAAAATTGGGTGGCTCTGTTTGCCCTCTGGTGAGGGTCTTCTGGTTGTATCACAACATGGCAGAAACATGTATGAGAGGCAGACAACAGTCAGAGAGCAGGACAGGAAGCAAGAGGGATTCAAAAACCAGGTCTCTGAGAACTAATTGGGTTCCTTCAAAACTACACTGGGGCCAGTGCTGTGGCCTAGTGGGTAAAGTTGCTGCCTACAGTGTCAGCATTCCAAATGGGTGCCAGTTTGAGTCCTGGCTGCTCCTCTTCCGATCCAGCTCTCTGCTATGGCTTGGGACAGCAGATGGCCCAAGTGCTTGAGCACCTGCACCTGCTGTGAGAGACCTGGAAGAAGTTCCTGGCTCCTGGCTTTGGATTGGCTCAGCCGCAGCCTGTTGCAGCCATTTGGGGAGTGAACCAGCAGATGGAAGACCTCTCTCTCTCTGTAACTCTGCCTTTCAAATAAAGAAATCTTTTTTAGAAACCCACATTAATCCTTTCGGAGGCAAAGATATAATAACCTTTCACTAGGACCCACTTCTTAAGGGTTCTACCACATCAGCATCACCACTCTGTGAAGCAAACTTTTAGCCCAGGAGCCTCTGAGGGCCACGCTCAAACCACAGCAATGAATGTTTGTTGTTTCAGTCTGAAAATCTTACCTTCACCTAACTTTTGAATGATAATTTAGCTGAGTACAGAAGTTCTGATTGGCTACACATTTCCGTGTCTTTAGGGATCTGCTATTGACAAGTGCAAATACTACTCCTTTTGAAATCATGAGTTTGTATTTTTTATATTTTGCATTTTCATTATGGTGTGTGAATTTAATCTTTATTAAGAGTTGTTTGTTAACCTGAAGATACGGGTTTCTGAGGTTCTGGAAAAGTATAGACATTATTACTTTGTTGCCCTCTTACCCCTTTTCCCCAATTTCTTTTGGATCTCCTATTGGAATATATGGGATTTTTCATTCAAAACTCTGTGACTCTTAAAGACCTTAAACTTACAATACTGTATTTTCCATTTCTAGATGCTCTTTTTCAAATTTATTTGTTCTTTCATACTGTACCTTTTTTTCTTCTTTAAAATAAATCTGCTAATCATTGAAATATTCTATTTTATAGTCTCTTTTAAAGTATCCTATTTGAAATAAAATGTTACTCTTTTGACTCCTCCCTGGCAAAAAAAAAAAAAAAGAAAGAAAAAGAAGAAAGAAAGAAAGAAAGAAAGAAAGAAAGAAAGAAAGAAAGAAAGAAAGAAAGAAAGAAAGAAAGAAAAGGAAAGAAAGAAAGAATCCTATCACACTTTAAGTTCTTGGGGTGCTATTTCTGCTTGTATCTGCCAACTCTGCCGACCAGTGCTGTTTCCTCCTATAATTTCTAGTGCCATAAACATGCATTCATCTTTCATTGAAAGCTGTTTTTCTGTAGGATTTTGTGCATTCTGGGCTGTAGAAATGTCCAGAGAAGTTTTATATTTCTTTTCGTCAGAGCCCCCAGAGTTTCACAGGTCATGGAATAATTCTGAAGTTTTAGTTTGGAGTTCCTGTACCATACAGATAGTGTTCTACCTATGTAAACAAACATTACACACACACATAAAATGTCTGTCCTATATTTTGTTGTGGTGCAAGCTTGGGATTTTTGGTTTCTCATAGATGGCTTTTTCCCCCTTTTATTCACTGTTGTTCCCCCATTATATGTCAGCCTGCTTTCCTAAAGCATTGTTTTAACACCATATCAAAAAATTAGCTATAATTCTCTACTGTCTGAACTTTGGCATCCAAAGTCC